TAATGTGAACCTTTAGATGCTTATAATTAATATCTGGACTCAAAAACTAGTTACTTTTAATGGAACACAATAGGCTGTAGGAGCCTCAGGGAAATTATATTCAGAAATGGTTATATTAGACTCAGAGTTAGCTAGAAATTATTACAAAGTATTTAGAACAGATGCCTAGTACAAAAAGCAAAAGATTTAAAGCAAAATGAATTATATTATTTGAAAAAATTGTTTTACGTACATTTCATTATAATTTAAGTAGAACTTAGTAAAGCAAGGGAAACGTGTTGAATTAAGCACAATGAACTCAATCTTAAAAGAATAACTAACAGAAGAGAGGTTGTCACTATTGTAAAGGCGACGAAAGATCTGTAATATAGAACATGGAGGTCAAAAAATGCTATCTTAAGTAAAAAGAGTTTGATGAACAAAAGTTACAATGGCTGCGGGATGCAAACCCGGATCTCTGCGGCGAATTATCACGTATCTAACTGATTGAACTATACAATCTTATACTCAAATTTATATCTTATTAAAATTAAAAAACAAAATTTTCTATGATCTTAACTTTGAAAAGCGTATTCAAACAGGACTCTACATACCTTTAAAATCTGCTAGAATTTTAGTAACGTGCACACTTTTAGAAATTATTGAAATAGGTATATTTTATCAGAAATATGCTTAAGCTAAAGCATATTTTTGAGCCTTTTTTACTATTTGCTTAAGCATATTCAAACCTGTTTCAAAAATTTCATATGCTTTAAAAAAAAACATGTATATTCCTACCCATCATTCTTATTTTTAATATACGTAATGAGTTCAAAAAACATCGTTGTATATATTTATTATGGCACGTTTCGTAAGTTTATTTCCGTTAAGAATTCTTTCGTATGTTGTGATCCGAAATACTTTCGTTTCGAAAGAAATTTTATTTTTTATCAATATTTCTAAAAATAAAACCGTAAAAATTTAATAAGTTATTTTACTGAAAATAAAAATTCATTATAAACATTTTGGGATTTAAAGATGTTAATTTTTACAATTAAAATCAGTCTGGCAAACAAATTTTCTTTATAGACTTCAAAACGTCATTTGGCAAAAATGTTTGTTTCGCAAGTGCGACTTCCGAAACTGCTACTTTCGTATGTTGCAAAATAGTTTTGTTTCGTATGTCAACTTGCGAAATGCTAAATTTCGGAAGTGGCTTTTGCGAAATGAACATCGGCGATTTTAAATGTTTTGTAACATTCGGTACGAAAAAATGTAATTCCGTGTTCTCAATCTCCTTACGAAAGAATGTTGTTTTTCCGGAATTGCACGAAATCCTCCGGTTAACAACCCTAGTTTAAGTACATGTTTTTATAAATATTCAACTGAATAAACATAAACTAAAATAATAAATCAAATTAATAACGTTTAAAAATATGACAATATATCATGTGACAAAATGATTTCTTTAAGTAGGGGAGGTTCATAATCATCTTTTTTTAGATTTTTTATAGTTAAACCAATTTTTCTTAATATATTTTTCATGCTGATTCTGAAAATCATAATAATTTTTTTTTCATTTTAATTATTTAGCCTTCTACTACAATTTTAATAAAAGTGAATATATTGACAAAAAAGGCATTAAAAATAGATGAAATTATTATTATCATTAAATATAAGAAAAATAGAAATCTTTTTCTGTTTAATTTATCAATAATATACCTTATGACTTATAAGTAACAAAAAAAATTAAGTATTATATATGAAAGTAATTCATACAGTTTGTTATTTACTATTGAAAATGAAAAATAACTATAAAAGTCATCATATGCGATAGAGATTGTTGCGGGAACTTTCCATGTAGATCATATAAGTTATGATATTAAAATACAAACCTCCATTTTATGTCTTCTTTGGTAGACATAAAATGGAGGTTTGTATTTTTATATCAACAATCATGTATTTAAACAGAATAGACCTCCGCGACAATGGCCTACATTGTATCCTTAAAATAAAGAACCTCATTTTTCGAACTTTTTTTTCATTTTAACATATCTTTATCTACTTCAATAATGTCTAGTTCACAGCTAAATGGGCTGCCTTGTAACTTTAATTAAACTAAAATAGAACTCATCTTGCGCACCTGATGCAAAGTTTGCTGCTTTTCCATCGTTATAATTTGTTTTTGTAGCTGGTTTCAACTATATTCCATAGTTTCAACTTTTTGGACAAATAATTTAACAATAATTTTCCAAAACATTTTTAAACTATGCGAACCTTCATTTTTTTATATGGTTTAAATAATTAAGTATACAACTACTGTTGAAGTTAAATAGGTTTTTTTCCAAAGCTTTCCAACTGCAACAACTTAATTAGAAAGTTAATATTAACCATATTCCATCATCAACCAAACACATAATACTTTTCTCTTTTTTGAAGTTCTGAGGCTAACTTTTGCCAAAATACTCTAGCAAGAATGATACAATCATTCAACCTCTTCGAGGTATATTTATTAACTGCTTCTAGAATTTTTTTAAAATAGCTATTCACTGCGTTTTAGAGCAGTAAAGCAGAAAATTTCAAAATTTGATCGCCCAGTTTGTTTTTTATAAAGCCTTTTAGGTAGCGGTGTTCCTTTAATCTGTTTATCTTTAGAGTTGTTAAACCTTTAGAATTTAACTGAACTTCTACTGACTGGCACTTTAAAAGAAGATTTATTCTTGACTTCATTAAAGAAAAATGAAAAAAAAATGAAATCTAGAATAGCCTTCTTGATAGCTTGAATAACGATTAAAAATAAATAAAAAAAAGAAAACTAAGATATTTTGAAGCAATCTGTTTTTCTGATTACTTAAAACGTTTTGTTTAGAAAGAGATTTCAGATAAAACTTTTTTTTTGAAGCAATCTGTCATCTTACTTATTTAAAACGATTTTTTTTAGAAAAAAGACTTCAGATAAAAAGTTTTTTGTTAATATCTTATTCAATAATTTGTTTTTGGAAAGTTTTATCAACTTTTAACTTATTTTCTGTTTATCTATGATATGAAAACAACTTGTCTGCAGGGCCGTCCCGAGCCAAATTACAAGGGGGGGGGGGGGTGGAACTCCTGTATGAGCCAACTAAAAAAAAAATTTTTGTTACGCTCAAAAAGCGGGTAATACAGTGCCGTGGTTAGGCTATCGCAAACCCCTCAGTTTTTTTTTGTTGGGAGAAGGGGGGGGGGGGGGTTTGCAAGTATTTTTATCTAAGTAATACACCTGTTTTTTAAATTATTGGGGCCCTGATGACAGGTGTATGTGTTTTTTTTGGGGAAAGGAGGCATTTGACCCTCTAGCACGGCACTGGGGTAACAACTATCATATATGAAACGAGCATATATTACGATATCCCAATTTTAATACTGTATTCAATACTGTTATAACATTTTGTTTTAATACTGTGTTACTATTTATTACAAGAAGAATATTAAAATAAGATAATATTTAAACAATATTTCTTTATGTTAACAAAAAAATTGCATAAACTAAATTTTTATTCTCCGGTTTTTTAAAACTGACCATTGATGTGCAATTTTTTTAATATCCAACTGGTCAACAATATCTTTTTCTACTCCCAATAAAACTAAAGAATCCAATCTCTCATCAGCTATTATTGATCTAAGATGTGTTTTAATTAATTTGAGTTTGCTGAACGTTCTTTCATTTGTTGCAACAGTTACTGGAGATGTCAAGACTAAACGGCAAATTTGATTAGCACATGGTAAAATATGCTTTACTTCTTCTGATTTTTTCATTAAGGAATTAAATGCTCTTTGGTCTTCTTTTAAAATACTAAATAATATTTCTAGTTATGTTTGAACTAAGTCATAATCTTGAAGATTTGCACCTTGACTGGCTGGTGGAAATAGTGAAATTGATTTTTTTACATTATCCAATGTTATATTAAGTTTATTAAATGGTTGAGAAAATAATAAATATAACGGTTCAATAGAAGAAACATTTTCATTTGTTAGTTTTAAAATGGTATCAAGAACAATTTTAAATTCTTTTCTGTAAAATAAATTCATTTCATCAATTCTGTTTGAGTTGTAGCATTACAATCGAATCGTTTAGGAGCTAATCTTCTACGATGATGGTTTCGAAAATCAGCATTAGAGTCTATTCCAAATAAGTTTGCAAACTCTTTAGCACTATTAATGAAATTGTTCATTGCATGATCATCAGAGTTAATACTTCAAGTATCAGATACTTTAGTTTATACATAATATTTTTCATGAATGATAACAATAACAATGTAAACAATAAAATCAAAAGAAAGTATTTGTTTTCGAATAGCAAGTGCTTTTGATCTTGTTCCTTCTTGCTTTTGATCAAAACATTCATTTAATAATTGAATTTCATCAAGGCTTTCAACAACAGCTTCTAATGAATTCCATACGGCTTTAACGCTTTCAGCACGAGCTGTCCACCTGGTTTTTGACAAATTTTTTAGTTGTAATGAAATTTCAATTTTTAAAATTTTCTCATTAAGTAAACCATATCTCTTATTACTTGAAGAAAAAAAGACATACAGGTTTTCCAATGTTTCAATAGTATTTCCAATTATACTACTAGCATTGCAACTATGATCTAAAAATGTGTTCAACAGATGGGCTTGGCATGGTACAAACATAACTTTGTGACCAAAAATTTCAGAAAGTTTAACATGGGGTCCATTGAGTTTTTCTGACATATTACTTGCAAAATCGCACGATTGAAAGGATACTAATTTAGGATTTAATGAATTACTTTCTAAAATGTTGACTATTTGTGATGCTGTACCCAAACCAGTTTTATCGTTTCCTTTTTCAATTTCCAAAAGTCGCTCAACAGATTTGCCTTGACTATTAACATATCGGACACATACTGATAAACAGTCCTGATGTAATATATCTGGCGTGGTATCAGCAGATACTGAATAAATGTTTGCTTCGTTTATCTCTTTTACTATTATGTTACGTGTTTCTTTAGCTAGCAGTTTAATAAATTAATTTTGAGATCTTGGACCTAAGTAAGTAACTTTATGTGGTCGTGATGAAGACTCATCCATCCAGCGTTTCATTAAGGGATTATGCTTAGAGAGTAACTGAACAAATTGCATAAAATTTCCTCCACTTTCGTCACCATCACTTCAAAATGCTAATCCTAGTTGTGATAATGTTCTAGCAATATCAAATAATATAACTATAATTTGTTTGTTGAAATCTTTTTCTTGTTCCAACTTAATTGCTTCTTTTCTATTTGATATATTTAAAATTAAATCAATATGATTTTCAGTAGTCGTAAATTGATAATAATCATGTAACGCTGCTTTATGAGAAGAAAACAAGAAAAATATTGTTGAAATTTACCCAATTTTTTAACTCCACAGCTTTTCATTTTATGCCACTGACGAACACCAGGTTTTACCCATGCTAAATCTATATAAGATCTTCTTGGACCCTTTGAAAATAAAGAACATACAAAACAGTATGCAGAATCAGTGACAATACTGTATTCTAATAATGGATATTCATCGTACCATTTAGGATTAAAACTATGCTGTTTAATGTTGTTAATTGTAGTATTAACTAAGTATTTAGTTAATTTTGGCTGATGCGGCCCTAAGGAAATAAGGTATTGCCGCTGAGATGTTGAAGCAACGGAAACACGACTGCCTGGATCATGATTTATTATATTATCAATAATATTGTTAATTGGTTCTAAATTTTTAGATGATTTAGAGATGTGTTCGGACAAAATATTTGCATTTTTTAAAAATTCTTTAGAATTTGATTTTATTCGACTTATGACTTGAATGCTTTCTAACAGGAAATCACTGCCTCAGATTTTAATTTAGACAAAATGGTACCACACTCGTTTAAGTCTGTGACAATATTTTCCAACTGACCAACACATGATAACCAATTGACTTCATCATGTTGTATGTCAACCTCTTCTATTCCCGAAAGTATTGGGGGAGATTGAATTGAATCCTCTTGACTTAAGTCCTTCTCCACTGTTTGAGAAAGACATGTTTCATGGTTCTAAAAGTATATTACAATATAACTTCTATCATATAAATATATGAAATAATATTTTAATTCTAAATCAACAAGTAACAATATGTGTTTTTATTAAAGGAAATACTAAATATAGTAAGTCGTGAGGAAATAACTCTAATTAAAAAGCATTAATAAGTTCAATTAAATTACCCCAAAATCTTAAGAAGTTATAAAATAAATGTTTTTATTATTTTAAAAACAATTTTTTTGTTTGTAAATATCCTTGTGTGTGCGATTTTTAATTAAAATACATAATCGATCGATTGATTTGTTAAACGTTTAATTTTAACTTCTTTTTTAAATCGAAACTCATATGTTTTAAATTATTAAACAATTTTAATAGTTAGTATATTTATCGTTGAACTTAATAAAAAATTTAATCAGGTACATACCGACTCTTGTTTCCCTGTAATTTTTGAAGCTTTTGCAGCACTTTGAAAAGGATTTTCGGGAGCACCAACGTCTTTTATATTTACTGACATCCCATTATGTATTATGCCGCATTTTAAACATTCAACTTTAAATCTATTTCTCTTGCGTTTCGCACCTATATCACTCATTTTAGAAGTTGTTTAATAGAAACCTAAATATTTCAAAACTCGAACTAAATATGAACAACAAAACTTCAAGTGCAACTAAAATATCAACCTATAGGAGCTTTGTTGTGGTTTTAAAAATCGCAATTTTTTATGATTTTTTGACGTCAAACTCAAATATAAAATGCACAATAGCATTAATAAATTATTAATGCCAACTTGGCATTATTAATTTCTATTATTCGAGTTGGCATTTTTTACCATTTGAGTTGGCATGAATAACTTATTAAAACCAATTTGGCATTAATAAAATGCCAACTCAAAATACCAACTTACATTCACAAATAATAGTTTTGGGGGGGTGTGACACCCTGACCCCCCCCCCACTTCGGGGCGGCCCTGCTTGTCTGGGCACTTGGAAATCTCTTTAACAATTATATTAATTTATTTATTATACTCGCAAGAGTTAGCCATAGACATGTTTCAATTTAGATCTTCCATGTTGTTAACACATAATATAAGCTTTTAACTAATAAATATTTTAACAAAAATTGTCGAATGTATTATTCAAATAATAATTAAATTAAATTTAATAAATTATTTTACTTCTTTTCGAAAATTTTTTTTTCTAAAAAAATAATTTAAGCATACTCTTATACTTACTATAATTCGATTTATTAAACACAATTTTTTGTTTCACTTTTTTTTTAAAACAATAAGAATAAAAAAAAATTGAATGAAAACATCAGTTTAAAAACCTTTTGAATGAAAAACTTATTTATACTTAAACAACTTAAGTTGTAAATAATAACAGTAACTTACGTATTTTAAACTCTGCAAAACAAGAAAATTATAAGATTATATTTAAATATCAGATAGTATGTTAAAAATAGAACATTTACGAACAAAACTTACAATTATATACTAACACAACTTCCCTCCCCCCCCTCCCAATACCGCAAAGCAGCGCAAAGTATAAGGAGGGGGGGGGGGGTAAATTTTTTTTTTTTCGCGATTAGATTTTTTTGCGTTAATTAGAGCCCTGAGCACTATATAAGAACACTTGCAAAATTCTTTAATATGCTCTGTTTTTTAAGTTCAATTTTTAGACATAATCTTATGGCAAAAGAATCGTTTATCTTTTTACATTTTACTAATTTGGTTCAGAGGTTTAAATAAATGGGCGACTAAGGTTTTATTTCTGCCCCCTGTATGGAGAGCCTAATCATAATTCTTTTTGTTCTCCCTGTTGACAACCAACAAGAAAAAAAAATTCACTCAATAATTTAAAGATATCCTTTCTCTTTATATATATATGTATGTATATATAGATATTATGGTGCTTTAAAAATCACTACTTAGTGTTGTTAATTTGGTGTGGTAATTTTTTGTGTTAATCTATTTTTAGATTCTAATTCAGAAAAGATTTATATAAAATTTCCTTTTATTTGAGTAATAAGTTGATCTTTTTAATATAAACATTTTAGGGACCATTTACCATTTAAACAATTTAGGGACCTGTTGAATAGAAAATGAGCTTAAGTATGAACTAAATATTGAACAATTAAACTTAAATTAGACTTGAAATTTCAAATTGTGTATCTGGGATTATTAAATCATTTCTTTCTAATTTCTTTATTATAATAATCGCCAAAGGCCTACTTATTTATTTTCAGTAACTTCTGGGGTATCTCAAGGTTCTATTCTTGGTCCTGTTTTGTTTCTTATCTACATTATTGATCTTCCCGACAACCCTATATCTATAGTAGCTCTTTTTGCTGATGACTCAAGTTTTTACTCCTGTCTTGACAAAAACTCTTCTCTTTTTGATTGCTTAGAACAGGCAGCCAATTTTGAATCTGATCTTACTTTTGTAACAGATTGGGGCTCACATATTTTAGCTTATAAATTTTAATTCCTACAAAACTCAGTTATTTACTGCAAACAACTACCACAATACTGTCAACATTTCTATATTGATAAACGGTAACCCTCTTACTGAGTCCTCTTTTTTACATTTTCTTGGAATATCATTTGCTACGGACCTTTCATGTAAACAAAATATACAATCGATTGCTAAATTAGCATCCCTTTATAATTATCGTCATTTTCTTACCCTTGATTCCATTCTCTACCTTTACAAATATCTTTTTGTCCCTGTATGGAATGTTGTTGTCATTCTCAAAAGAGTTATTATTTCTTGTTCCATTAACAAAAGTTTATTCTCGCTTGACTCTTTATTATGCTAAGTCTCATTCATTAGTTGTTAAATTTTATTAAATATAATAATTGTAAATAAACTATGTTTATTGTGTCAATATACACTAAAAATAAAGATAAAACTGAGGAAAATAAAATTATCAAAAAAGTTTTTATACAGGACTGCTTTAACCGTGTTAACCTTTAAACATACCAAAACAAAAATTAATTCAGTAAATTTCAGTATTTATTGTCCTATTTAAATCAGAAATTAAAATATAAATTAAGATATTGCCATTAAAGTAAAATTTACTAACTTAAACAATGAATGTTTAAATATTTCCCAAAAAAAACAAAAAAACGGACCCCTATGTTTTTTTTTCAAAAAAAAAGATTAAAAAAAACAAGAACCAAAAAAACGCGTCACATCTCTAGGAAGTTCTCAACAACTATACACAAGGACAAAAAGTATTTTTAAACCCACCTGACTAATAATGCAATCAGGACTTTGGGATCATTAATAAAGTATGCACACTCACATAGGGGAGCACAGAGGTTTATTTAAAAATTAATTTAATTTTTGTATGCTTATTTGGCATGCAGATTTAAACTTTAAAAAGTTAAAATTTTTGTCTATTTAAAAGTTGAACAATTTGGAAGAAAAAAACACTTTAAAACCCAACAGTTTTTAAGTATACTCAGAAAAAAGTGATGAAAAAAAAAAATTATGGATCTAAAATTTGGAAAAATATAATTTAATAATTCTTTCTGGCTAATAATAATAATAGTATTTTAGGAAAAAAAATTGGATAATTTTCATAAAAGTGATATAAAAACTGTAAACTTTTGCACATGATTTTACTGTATTTTTTAAACATTTTAGTCATTATCTCAGAAACTGTTAATTAAACCGCAGGAAGAAAGAGCCTGCAATGGTAGCATATGAGATAGAGGGCAGGTGGTTAATTATAAAAGTAAGACACTAAACAAAAAAATCTAAATGAATACCTTTGATCTCTAGCCTTTATCAGTAATATCAAGCTCTAATAAGTTAAGAACAGAATAACATTTAAGGAAAATATCAGTTTTAACAACCAACTGAATAGGGATCTATGCAGCCTCTCTAGGTCCTTGCCATGAAAAGACAACATAGGATCATCTGTTTGATATTTTTTTTCAGATTTTCTGGCTGCAAAAGGTGTGATATAGTAGAAAAATAAAAGCTTTTATACTAAAAGACATCTGTAACTCTGTTTTTTTATAATAAAACAGCTCTTTGACGATGGCCTTTTAAAAGATAATAGGTTCTGCTTGAAATTAATTATCTTTATAATATTTGGCTATATTTCTTTGCCTGAGAACCTTCCAGTTCACATTAGAACCATACATAGGTAGTTGTACTTGTTTAGATAAATCTAAACCAGATAAACCATTTGAATAACTCTGTTCAAACTTTCAACATAACAAACAGCCAGCCTGATGGCAACAGTCTGATGCACAGAATTGTATTTTTAAAAAGTCCCTGTAGTAAGGTACTAACTATTATACCATAACTAACGTTGAATTTGTTTTTGCCAAGTTAAAATATTTGGTACAAATAAAGAATTAAAAAAGCGAAAGCTTTAAAAAATTGAACTAAATGTTAAAAATGAGATTGCTTATTTTAAATAATTGTAAATATTTAGCATTAATATTTACAATTATTTAAAATAATAATTTAAAAAAGAATTTTTTTATAATTTTCAACGAACATTAGGTAGTAGATTGTTAAAACTTATATATAAAAAGAAAATTTTAAAAACATTAAACACTTAATAAAATAATTTTTATATATAAAATGATTAAACTTAAACATAATCAACATTTGACATTTCAAGACTTCATTGACAAATCCTAAAAAACATTTACAATTTATAACAATCCTAGGTAAAAGATAAAAAAAAAAAAAAAAAAAAAAAAAGAAATTTAGAACTAGAAATGTTTTATTATTCTCTGAGTCACTAAGAAAAAAAGCAACTGTTTTCCCTGACCACTAAGCAAATTCCCTGATTTTTACTAAACCAGTTAAAAAAAACACTTTTGCTTTGACTTTTCCAGAAGGTATAAATCACGATTGTTATTTTATGTTTAGCATGGTTATAACAGAACACAAATTTAGCTCAGCCAGTGTAACCACTAGTTAAAAATGAGAGCAAAAATAAGGATTTCAATTAAATTTAAAGAATAATTATAATTTGTCATGAAATTTAATAACAAACAGCAAAAAATTCCATATAAAAAATAAGAAACTTTCTATACAGAATATTTTTAAATAACATAACACCAAAATGATATTAGATATATATCATTTTGGACATATTTTTCATTGGGAACACTCTCTTCTATAAAAATGTTTACTTCACATGCAGTAAATTAAAAAGCTAGTATTGTAAAAAACATTTAAAAAAAAATTATTTAACATTGCAAACCTTCAACATTTTTTCCATTTCTAAATTAAAAGTTACAGCATAATGCACTCTGTGAAACATTTTGCTCTTTTATTTTTGCATTTACATGTGGCCAATATGTACTTATTTTCTGTCGCAGCAGCCAAATTTAAAGCTTCAGCAGTGTTTGGTTGTGCATCAATTTGCTGTGCACCTATTTTTAAACAAGCAAACAAAGCTATATTTACCAGGTTATCAAGTATATTATCTAGTATACAACATACAAAATGGTTTTTTTGAATGAATTTTCATTATATTAATTTATAAATTTCATACAAAAAACTAAAGTATACTTTCTAAACTTGATACATATTTGATTAAAATGGATAGTTGCATACACATTTCAGTAAATAAATTTATTTCAAGAGAAATGTTATAAATTTACATTCTAAATATGGTAAACGTTATAATACACTTTAAATTATTAAAAAAAAAAAAGATATATTTTACAAAAAAACAGGTAAAGAAAAACTTCATACTAATAAATGCTCAAAATTTAGAGAAGAATTATCTTCACTCATTTTAATCTAAAGAGTATTACAAAAATTTGTAGGGCAAAGCTCGTTTTAGTACAATTTAGAGGGTTCTGTTCCAGAATAGAAGATTTCATAATTAGGCGGCTATTATGAATCACGTGATGCAATGTTTTTCTTGGGAGGGCAAAAATGTAAACAAACCAATAATAAACATGTAATAAAAATAAAGTATAAGTCAAAAAAAATTTAATAAAGAATAATTTATTTATACCTTTACCTCAATAAAAAAGAAAAAGATTATATATATATATATATATATATATATATATATATATATATATATATATATATATATATATATATATATATATATATATATATATATATATATATATATATATATATATATATATATATATATATATATAATATATATATTACTGTTACCCGCAGTATCAGGAATTAGCTAAATGCTAATATTTATAATATTATATTGCGACTTAAAGTTTCATGTGTTACCACAATCATCAGGCAAGTAGTCAAAAGTTAATTTTGCTATATATATATATATATATATATTATATATATATATATATATATATATATATATATATATATATATATATATATATATATATATATATATATATATATATATGGATATTTATATGTAAGACACAATTTATATATACAACATATATATGTTTATATAAATTTATATATCACATATGTATATATATATATATATATATATATGTGTGTGTGTGTTTACATATATATATAATTATTATATATACATGTGTTTATATATATATATATATATATATATATATATATATATATATATATATATATATATATATATATATATATATATATATATATATATATATATATATATATATATATATATATATATATATATATATATGTATATATATATATATATATAATATATTTACATTTTATTTAAAATTTTAAATTTTTAAATTTTTTTTATTTTGATTGTTTTATTTAAAATTTTAAAAGAACATTTAACATCTAAACACAATCTACCATTATTAAAATACTTTTTAAATGATTGATTGATGATTAATTCTTCATTTGATAGAAGTAGTAAGAAATTTTTTTCATGAGGGTATAAAATCTCAGCAACAAGAGGAGTTAGCTTGGGTTTCTTAGAACTTGTATTTCTAGAAAGAGTATTAAAACTGATGTTTGAATGCAGTTATCCTCCCATGGCATTGAAATGGAACCAAAGTAAGTCTCTATTATAACTGATTCTCATAGTTGATTAAATTCCTAACTAACTTGCGACAAACCAATAAAAAATGCTAGGCAATTTAAAATGTTATCGATGGGTATCGAAAACATAAAATATTGCACAAAATGGAAAAAACAAAGTTGCAACACAAGAATATAATATCATTTATAAGTACAATAATCAGCAGATTCAATAAATTTATTCAATAGCATACATAAGAGTTTCCAAAAGTATGGAGTTATGTACGCGTGCTGGTATCCATGTTAAAAGAGACACAGTAAAACAAGTTGTTGCTGAATGTGATGAATGTAATTCAATTGATCCTAATGTAATTTCGTGGGATAAAGGAAATCTTGATGTCATTAAAGTATGGAAAAAAGTAGCCTGCAATGTTACTCATGTCGATTGATTGCTATATCTAACCTGTATTGATTGTGGCCCAAACAGATATACGTTATGGACATCATCAAGCAACGAAAGTGCAGCAATGGCTGTACAATCGTTGAAAACAATTTGGTCATCGCTTAGACCTCTCTCTAAAATTCTTCTAGATAATTCTAAGTCACTTAGATCTCTGATTATGCAAGCTATGGCGTCGAAATGGAAAGTAAGACTTATTTTTCGAGCTGCTGAAAAACCATTGGGAAATGGAATTGTTGAAAGAGTTTATCAGGTGGTATAAAGAACAAATGCAAGCAGGAGCGTGATGGCTCTAAAAAGCCCATGCGGGATTTTCATAAAAAGGCCTATATATGCGGGATTTTACCATATATACTGGAAGTAAAGGCCCAGAAATAAAAAATATATATATATATACAGGGCCGGCGCGAGTAGGTGTCATGTGGGGGGGTGCCATTACAACTTTTGCCGACTAAAAAAAAAAGAAAAAAGGTCCTCGTTTTCCAAAATTTGCCGACTGTCATTACGACATGCCGACTGTAGCATGTCCACACGATTTTTTTATAATTTAAATATTCATATATAATTGATGCCATTATATAGAGCTTGGTTTGACTTAAAAAATGAGGGGTCATTCGACCTTTGACCTTTGAAGTTAAGCGGATCAAAAGTTATTAAACTTTTTGTGGTCAAAAAACGGGTGATTTTTTGACAAAAGGTATAGGGCTTAAGTATGGGAAATTTGCGGCGAAATGGCACCGAAAATGATAGTATTATTGACAATTGAATAACTTTTGAACCAATAATACATTTGACTTGAAATTTTCCATAGTGATTAATCAACTATAAGGAAGTGAAAATCCAAAAAAAAATAATTTTTAAATCTGTCGGGATTGACCAGAACCATCTATTTTACAGACCGAGGGTTTTTACTAATTTATATGTTTTTGGTGTCATACTGACTTTTGAATAACTTTTGGAACCGATAATACATTCGATTTGAAATTTTCCATAGTAATCAACCAATTATAAGGAAATAAAATTCCAAAATTTTTTTTTAAACCTGTCAGGATTGACCAGAATCATCTATTTTACAGACCAAGGATTTTTACTAATTTATATATTTTTGCGGTCAAACTGACTTTTGAATAACTTTTAAATCGTTATTACTTTTGACTTAAAAATTTTCATAGTGATCAAAGAACTATAAGAAAATAAAAAACCAAAATTTTACTTTAAAAAATGTGTCGTTATTGTCCAGAATCATCTATTTTACTGCCTGACGGGTTTTATATTATTTTCTTATTTCTGAGAATAAAGATTAGGGTCATATTATAATTATACCATGCGAATATGCATAAAGGAATCATGGAATCCAAAAAATACATAATTTAAAAACTATTGCATAATTTACAAATTGCTCAGTGAATAATCACATAAATTACTGTTTGGTCAGTAAATTGCTGAAAACCGGCTGTTCAAACAATTTAAACATATCAACTTTAAATAGTTTGTAATTTTTTAATTTTCGATATTTTTGCACCATTATTACATCTGACTTGAATTTTTAACTAGTGAGCCAGTTTTTATTAAATCTGTCGGGATTATCCAGAATTGTTTATTTTATAGACTGAAAGGTTTCTACTTATTTAATAAGAAAAAAAATTAGGGTTGCACTATGCAAATATGCATAAAGGAATCATGGAAGCCAAAAAATACATCATTTGAAAACTATTATTTACAGACCTGTCAGTAAAATTATTTCATAAATTACAGACCGGTCAGTAAATTACAGAAAAATAGATTTACACACCAATTAAGGATATTGACCTTAAATATATTTGATATTTTTGAACTGTTATTACATTTGACTTAAAATTTTACATAGTAATCCAGTTTTTATTAAACCTATTGAGATCACGCAGAATCATTTATTTTACAGACTGAAGTGTTTTTACTTATTTAATTGTGTAATGAACAACAAAAATTAAGGTTACAATATGCAAATATGCATAAAGGAATCATGGAATCTGTAAAATACATCAATTTGAAGTTATTGCATAATTTACAGACCGGTCAGTAAATTACTACAAAAGGGTTGCACCAACCTATTGGACAAATCAATATTGCACAAACCTATTTGACTTTAAATATAGTTGATAATTTCCAACTGTTATTAAATTTGACTTCAAATTTTTGATAGGGACACAAAACTATAATAAAATTAAATGCCATAATATTTTTGCATCTGTCAAAATTATTCAAAAATTGTTAATTTTACAGACTGAAGTGTTTTTACTTATTTACCTAGTTATTTAGAAAAAATTTGGGTTATATTATAAAAACTCAATGCAAATATGCATAAAGGATCGTGGAATCCAATTAATTCATCTGTTTAAAACTATTGCTTAATTTACAAACCGTTTAGTAAATGAGTATGGGCATTGAAATATATTTAAATCATTCAGAATTACCTATTTAACAGACAGAAGATACTTTAATAAAGTTAAAATTTAAATTAAAATGAAAATAACTTACACCAATAGAACTTCCTAAAATTTTGAGTACTCGCGACAGCATTAGCAGGTGTAAAAGCTGAAATCAACCTAAAATTGTAATAAAATTATTATTAAAACACACAGATTAATTGGTTTTAAAAATAAAAAATGATTATAAATTAACAATTAAAACTAAATAAATATAGAGTAAGAAACTTACTCTTTGAGATTGTTTATGTGAAATATAGACAACAACTAAGATAAAAAAGTGAAAACAACATTAAAACAAAAAATGGTGTTATTCTAAAAATTATCTCTTGGCTTTTAGTGAATGATTAGAGGTAGAGAGTTTGAGTAACAAAACAACCTAATAATCATTTTTAACGATAGACACCAGCGAGAAGGTAAGCCAAGTTGTCTATCAACACAAAACATCACAACAATAACATCACAATCACAAAACACACATTACCTGTGGCACTAAACGCTGCAAATTCATGCTAGTGTCAATACTTAACTAACAAGGTGAACTTCTATCCTCAGCCATTTACCATTTCTAACCAACATTAATGATCATCCTGAAAAACTCAAAGTTGGCTCTGTTTGATGATGATATAAGAAACATATGGATTTCAATCATCTGTTTTTAGACCTGTTAACTGTTGTTACAAAAAGATTTGAAATTATCATTAGATAGAGGCAGTGATGCACATTCTATTGCTCTGGATGATATGGTGTATCTAGCAAAGTTTTAAAAAAGTATTTGCAATCTTGTTAATACTCCTATATTCATGAATGGCAACATTGTTACTGTGTCTTCTACTTTAAATCGTCTCTAACTATCTTTTTGTACTGACCTCTTATGGAAACCTTATATACAAATCATTGCTAAGTTAGTATTTGTATACAATAATATAGTATTTTATTGTTTTTAAGTGCTCCAAAAATTCTTATTGGTATAGTTTTTTTCCTCGAACATCAGTTTTTTTGTGATACTAACCATTCATCTTGTTTTCCTGATTCATATAATTTGCAATATTTTAAGCCATCTGTTAATCGTTATCTTGCTTTATAATCTTTATCTTGGGTCTTCCAGTAACTTCCTAAAAATGGTTTTTTAGAAAGTTACTGGAATGTTACTTTACTTCATATTGGGTCTTCCAGTAACTCTAAAAATGGTTGCTACAAGCCTTGTTGAAAATACAGATACTTAAAATAAAAAATAATCTCGCTTGATTTAACAAAGTTGATGATTTGCAATCTTCTGTTATTTGTTCTATCCTTACTTCTAGCCAAACATCTTCTGAAACAAATTCTAGTGAATTTGTTCCAGAAGATATTTCTGCTACTTTAAGTTTATTTTCTGATTTAAACTTGAAAACTGCTTATGATGATTTTTCAAGCTCTGTTACTCAAAGTTCTACTGTAGACAAGCTTTTAAAAAGTCATTCTGATGATTGTTTTCTTGAAACTCAAGTAAATAAAGAGAATTTCACAGTTTCCAACTTCGATCAACAACTACCTTTATTATCTGGTGATTTGACCTATCCAATAAACAAATACAAAAAGAGAATTAAGCACCTTGAATTTCAAAATAGACAAGATGTAATGAATATAAAAGAAAAAATTAAGGGATTTTATCAAAATATAATGTCCAAGAAGAAAAAAAAAAGAGATGTTAGAAAGGATTGTAAGATTAACCAATTGTTGCAACTAAATTTAAATTTGGAAAAACAACTTGATTTGGCTAGAAAGCGTTCCCAATCAGATCAACAAAAAGCATAGTAAATAAAAACAATTTTGAAAGCACTGTTTTGAAAACAACTAATGACACACAATCAGCTTGCAATTTTGTGGAAGAATCCAAACAAAATACCTTTAAAAAACAAAATAAAATATCTTTAACAGCTTGAAATCTAAAGAGTTTCACTTTCAATATCATTCTCAGAATGAAAATTTTATTCTATTTTGAAAAACAAAAATGATGGAAGGAATAAAAGCAAGAGTTTTATGCTATATAAAGCAGTTATGTCATATTTTCAAAAAAATATTTTTTTTTATTTAAATACTTCTTAAGTGTATAAATAAGCTTTAGATTAGAAAGTGAAAAGTAAACATCAAAAAATCCATTAATAAATTGCGAATGCCAAAAAAAAAATTATAAACAAAAACAAATGCAAAAATCATAGCAAAAAACGGCGAATTGAAAAAAAGCCAAATATACATAATTTATAAATACATTTCCTAAGTATCAAATTATTAAGAAATCATAAATACTTGATTTGGATAGGGGAAAGGCTATACTTGTCTTTTCCACCTGGTCCTTTTTGAAAAAAGGTTTTTTTTCCCAAAAAAACTGACAACAAACTTTTACAACACTGAAAACTAAACGAATAAGAGCAAATATCAAAAAGGTCCACATTACATTAAATTCCTCATCCTTTTTTTAATCTATATGGAAAATTTCATGCAAATTGGATGTGTTTTGGTACTTAGGAATCCTTACCTGAAAAAGCTTCGTTTAAAAAAACGTTCCCGCGGCTAGTTTTTTTAACAAAAGTGGTCTCTGGATATTGATAATATTTAAGTGAAGCCATATAAAGCACAGTACTTTCTACATATGGCTGGAAAAAGGTTGAGTAACACTAATTGATACAAAAAATCTCAATGTGATTGCTTAACCCTACAAAAAGATATAAGAGAGTAAAGTTTATGAAAAATCGGCGTTTTTCGTCAAACGTCAAATGTTTTTCGCTGAGCCGTGAAATCGCTACCGACTGTCTAACCTATATCGAAAGGGTCGACATTTGCCGACTAACTAGTCTAAAAAGGTCCGATTTGCCGATATATATATATATATATATATATATATATATATATATATATATATATATATATATATATATATATATATATATATATATATATATATATATATATATATATATACATATATATATATATATATATATATATATATATATATATATATATATATATATATATATATATATATATATATATATATATATATATATATATATATACATATAAAACTGACCTTATTCGAATAAATCATCAATACAAACCAACAAGGTGTTTGCAATACTTTAAATTAAATATAGCAACACCACGCTGCAGCGACCATTTTTGTTTTGATTCTGTTAAAAAACAACTTTACCGCTAATTTATGGCAAGCAAATACGATATTTTATTATTTAAAGAGAATAACCTAACACAAAATTCATTTTTTATTTAAAATTTTAATTTTTCTATCATTATATAATGAGATATACTATATTTTAAATTGTGTATATTTTTATTTACTAAAATACTTTTTTCTTGGAAAATAAGAAATTATTTTTTTAGATTATTTTAGTTTATGCAATTATTTGATTCGACATTTTAACTAGTATATTCGCGGAGCATTAACTCACAACAGCAAAAATGCCGCTATAAAAATGGTGCCGCTATTAACATAATTTAAACAAAAAAGGTTTTAAAACGTTAAGTTTCATTAAGCAGTTTCTAAATTGAAAAATATTTCATATTTTTTCTAAAAATGGAATTATTGTTTTTTCATTTAAAAAACCAAAAAAAAAAATTTAAATAATAGAAACATAAAAAATTTAAGCAATGAAATCTTTAATTTATTTTAAACTTACCTATAGTTAATAGAAATAAAAATGCGTCGTAAATAAGTAAAGTGTATAGCTCTAATATCAAATTGTATTTGAAAATATTTGCGGTACTCCCACATTTCAATTAAATATTTTTCGTTATATAATAATAAACCACACACTTTAAAAAGTTTGTGAAATAATGTGTTTAAACGCTATTTTTAAAGGTTATTTACGTTATATATCATTTTTAAACTCGTGGGAGTTATATATTAAAAATGTGCGCAAGCTATTTTAATTGATAGCGTGGAGTAATTTTATGGTTACCTTAATTGTTATTGACATGTAAAAATACTATGGAAAATTGATTGAATGAGTGATCTGAGTATCAAATTTACTGATTTACTATTGAGATTTTTTTAATCATAATATTTCAATAAAGATTCAAACAAAGCACAAGGTTTTTTTATGTTCATTTATAATTGTAAATTTTATTCAATCAAAATTTTAATTGTGTAATTTTAATTACGTTTGTATCAGTGTGTAATTTCGCATTTTGCAAAAAAATTTTTACAGAAAAGTATGAAAAAACAGAAATCCGGATGGGAAAAGAAAAAAGAAAAAATCCAAGCTGAGTTAAAGATATTACAATCGGGGCAAAAAACTCTCCCTGGATTCTTTGCATCATCATCAACTAATCCTATACCATTTGATTCCACTGATACCTTGGAACAAATTACAGACGAGGTTTCTAGTCACAGTAATCCAGTTGACTTTTCAATTTCAAGAGCATCGGAACACGTTAGTACTCAATCCCTCCAAAGGTTGGATAACATAGATGATTCAATTAAACTTTGGCAAAGGCCAGCAAAGGGACAAGAGGTAAGTTTTATAACTTTTACCCATCCTATTCAACCAAGCTCTGTAAAGAAAACAGTATCCAGAGGTTATAAACGCAATATTGATAGCGAACAAGATGAAACTGTACGTACTTTAATAAATACGCTCAGCTTTAATAAGATGAGAGAGAAATATTTTTGCAGTGTATGTATATGTTTTAATGGTGATGCTAATAACATTTTTGTGGCTGGATGTCCATTAGACCAAACCGGAAGATCGCATCATCTACACAACATTAATAGACATGAACTATCAGTCGCCCACTCTGCAACATTAGACGCATTCTTTATCTCTAAAGCAAGAAAATTTACTCGTCACCTTCTAGACCTAAGCATTAAAACAGTTGTTGACCAAAACCGTTATGTTCTTAAAAGCATAATAAAAGCCTTTGCACTCTTGTTATACAAGACCTTAGGCGCGGGCACCTAAACGAAAATGCTACCGAAATTTTTAAAACCTTATTTGCGGCATGGAAACATTCAAGCCTTGTTAAAACTTCTTATAACAGCGGATCCGATGCTTAATGAACACTTGAGGCAGCTGTCAGCAACCGAAAAAACATCCCAAAAACCTAAGTTTGGTGAAAAATCTGAAGCAGTTGGAAGGGGATCAAAAGATACATGGCTTAGTAACTACACTTTTAATGAACTACTGAAATACAAAAGCAAATTATCAGCTTAATAAATAAAAATGGTTTTTTTAGTATACAAGCTTATTCAACAACAGATATAGCTCTATGCAACCAGATGTGTCTTGTAATTCGTACCGTTCAGAAGCAACACCAAGAAGCAATCGATGAATACGTTTCCTACGTTCCATTAAGCAATATCATTGAAGGGAGGTTGATTGATGTGTGTAAAATAACTCGTGGAAGAGCAACAAATTTATTTACAGACATATCTGATATGTTGAACAAAACAAACCTTGACTGGAAAGCAAATTGCATTGCGCACTGTTTCGATGGGGCATCAGTGATGACGAAGCTTGCGGACCATTTTCGAGAAGCTACTCAAAATGTAAATCAACACATATGGTGTCATTCACATCGTCTTAGCCTTGCTGCTGTTGACCATTGTAGCCTCATTGATCATCCTTCGGTTCAGCAGCTGTTCTATATGCTTCAAAACCTATTTAATTTTGTAAACGCAGGTTACAAGAGATGTGCAGTATTTGTGAATACAATCAACGGAAGCAAGCATAATCAGGGTGGAAGTGAAAAGTTAGCTAAGTTTCTTACGCATAAGTGGCAAGGAAGATGCAAAGCTGTAACTAGTTTGATAGGTAGATTTAAAAGTGAGGATGCCGAGAAGCAAGTTAACGATGGATTAATTGTTCAATTAATCGCTACTTTGGACACTGATTTTGATGTGGAAACGCGAGGAACTGCTTTTGCGCTTCTTCAACAAGTTCTACAAAAGGAGAGTATAGTTTTAGCTATATTTTATTCTCAAATGATGTCTTATGTGG